GGAGGGGCAGCGCTGCCCTCTCACGCTCCACCAAAACTGGGTCGGGCAGTCCGATTTCAGACCTTTTATTTGGAAAGAACAGCTGGTTACGTTTCAGTATTTTCATCTTATGATGTCTTCTTGAACTGAAAATGAGGGGTTTTCTCTTCCCCGTCAGTCCTTGGCCATCATCTTCAGGGAAGAAGCAGCCGCTCTCGCTGTCGAGGCCGCGCGCTCCGCGTCTGCCTGGGGGCAGCTGCAGGCAGAGCCCACAGCCCCACAGAGTTCTTTTGAGGTGTAACAGTCGCCCGAACCATTTACCAAAAAAACACCTTCTTAAAACGGCAACAACTGCCCCTAAGGACCAGTGTGGCCCTGCAGCGAGTCCCCTCAAACAGAACCGTTCTCCCTCTGGGACACAGATTCTCCGGCCAAAGCCAGACGTGTTCCCGCACCTTCCAAGCCCCGTTAAGTTAGTAAGACGCGTGGGCTGCACGTCTCGGCGTCAGCACGCCGGCTTCTGCGTCAAATTCCTCGGAGCGGCCAACACCCAGGAGCTCAGTGGAAGACGGAGAGCGCATCAGCTCAAGCGAAGAGCCGACCAGCGAAGGGGCCTCGGAATGCTCTGTGCCATCCCCGTGCCCAGCGGGTTTCGGCTGACCGTCTGCGGAAGAGGCACCCACTGGGGATGCGGCGCTCGCTGCGGTTACCAAAACCCAGCAGGGTGGGCGACTGAGGAAGACTAAAGCCGGAATTCCTGCTATCAGCAGGCACGTTTCGAGGCTTCTCCCCGCATCAAAAAGCAAACCCAGGCGAACCCTAATTACAAACACCCCTCTCCGCAGGTCCCTTCCACAGCAAACCTCTCTTTTCCTTGCCGGGCTACCACGGTCTCGTTACCACACACGCCTCCCCCAGACCCGGGTGACACGCAGGCACTTGCAAGGCGCATCCACGACAGCCCCGTGCTAACGGCTCCTCCCCGCCGGCACCTTTGCCCACACCAGCTTTCTTGGAACTCACACCCCGTTAGTTCAGATCTTCTCCACCAGCCGAAGAGATTCCCACTCTGCCCTTCCCCAGGCTCAAGCCCAGCACTGACACGGGAACACCGCGGCCTTCAGCGACAGCAACGCCAGAGCGTAACCCGCTGCTGAGCCTAAAAACGCGCCGGGGTCCGTGACGACGCAGCAGCGTCTTCAGAGGGCAGGGGCACGACTCGCACCTACCAGCTCCCCGCGGGAAAAGGAGAGGTCAGGCTGGATTCAAAGCGGTAGCACAACACGACGGTTTAGCGGCAAAGAGGCACGGGTTCAACACGTCTTAGCGGGACCTACAGGGCACGGCGCGGGTGTGATTCTACGGGGAAGCAGTGAGGTAACGCACGGAAAGATGAGTCATTACGGCGATCAGACCCTGCGGTCACTGACTGCCAACAGCACTGGAGACGTTCATATACTGTAATTAAACGGAAAATCGGGGTGGGTGTCGCAAACCCAGGAAAAAGCGAGGCTGGAAGCCCTGTCAGCCCCAGGGTGCCCTTCGGCTGCTGCCCCTTTCGCTCTGCACACCGCTGTCCCTGCGCATCAGAAAGCGGAAGAGAAGCCAACTGCAGACGCTTCTGCGAAGCGTCAAACCTACTCAGTACAAAACAGGGGAAAAAAAAAGAGACCAAACGTTTGTTAAAAAGCAGAAAGATTTCTCACGGACATTTTGGACTGACCAAACCCAGGAAGCGGGGACAAGGCAAACAAGTTTTCCGACTGCCAAAACGCAGCAGACAACAGTTTGGCTACCGGTCCTGCTTACCAGAACGCGGCGTGCTGGACTTGCTCCTTATTTAGAATTCCTGGCCACCAAAATAAACATCATAGGCCAATGAGCAAGATCTGCAGTGGTGGCTGACCAAACCGTTTTCCTGCCTGGAGCGGGTACGGAGCCCTGCCCACGCCCGCAGCACCACTCCACAATACCGACAGGAGACAGGGATCCCAGCGGCTTCCCTCACTCTTGCAGGCGTATGCGCAGAGAACACCACTACGGCTTCCACCGTGGCCCACAGGAGAATTCTCAAAGGTAAAAATATATGCTTTGAAATTGCTGGATTTCTTCAAAACATAATACAGGTGAAGGAAAAGAAATGTAATTTCTCAGCATGTAACGACAAAAGAAATTTAAACCCTCGGGAATTTCCACAATTCCCAAACATCCAACATCAGCAGAACACAGTACGCCCAAACCACACGAGCAGAATCCCCCGAGAGCAGAGACGCTACGTGGATACTACGTGAAGTTTCACCGTCCTACAAGGTTTAGCTGGGATTTACATTCAGTACTTCGGAGGAAGGGAGCGTGGCAGTCCCTTCACGCCCTGCCCCTGCTGCTGCCCGCCCAGACGCATCACTGTTACTACTCAAAAGGAAAGGGAAGGTGCTGGTAAGAGCCAGAAGGGCCAGGCAGTGGTGGTGACGATGAAACGCCCTGTTCTTTGGATGAACTCTGAAGTATTTTGATAAAAGGCTCCATGTTAAAAATACCAAGAACAAAAAGGTCTTAAAAATACAGAGCGTTTCCGCCTCTTCTTAAGTTCAAAGCTTGGGGAAAAGTGTTTTGCTAGAATTAACTACGGGTTTGCTATAATGAACATACATGACAATGCCCTACGTACACAGGGCCAACCACAGACGCCAGACGGACGCGATCGCTGCGGGTTCCAAGCGGTGTGTTCACCCCTCTTCGTGTGAGAGGGACGGACGCCCCCGGAACCTTCGCTGCAGAGTCTTGGCCAGCGCCCGGCCTCTGGCAAAGGAAATCCTGCCACGCTGCAGTCACCGGCTGAGGGTCAATGCAAAACCAGTCATGACTCGGTGTCTGATCCTGAACTGCTTTCTCGGCTGATTTCAATCTGTAGAGAGGGTAAATTATCCAGTCGACTCTTTTTTTGCCGAGATTGTTCTTTTTCCTTAATGAGAGCTCCCCAAACCCGCTGGAGCTCTGAATCATCTTCCTCTGGAGATGCCACAGGGTTTTCAGGTTTATCTGAAGTCTTTTCTTGTGTCTTCGGAGCAGACCCCAATCGGGTCCATAAATTACCTAATCAGAGGAAAAAAAAAATTTTTTTTGGAAGACAACAGGGCTAAGGAATTCTGGAGGAAGTCTGAAGAGCCTTGTCTTAAGTTCCCCGCATCTCCCAACTCCTCCCACCCTGACGTCTGGCGTGGAGCTGCGCTCCAAAGTGGCGCTGCAACTATGGGAGGCTCAGGGCAGACCTGTCCAACGTTCCCCATCGCGGAGACGCTGCACACAGCTCTGAAGTGCCACCGCGTTCATGACGCTTGGCCTGTGACCGGTTCTGACCGCAGTCTTAAGGCCATCCTCTACTTCTATACAAAAATCTTGCTCGCAGCCCTACTCAGCTCAACCCACCTGCCTGCGTTCAGATTTCAAAGCTCTGACGAACATTTCCAAATTCACCTTTAGTTTCACTGAACTGAACATCTTTCTCAGACTCTGAAATCAAAGGAATTGCAGTATTACATGTTCTCCATAAAACGAACCTGATTTCTTCTCCCTGGTATCAGAGTAGAGGCCTTTGACATCTTGCTTGGGGACTCCTAACCGGCTGTGTACATCTGACACTGGTTCTCGACGAGGAGCAGAGGTACTGCTTGGAGGTTTACTTTCTGGAGAGTGTGGTCTTTTTCCCAGCCTCTGCCGCACATCTAGGGAGATTTTTAGTGATTAAAGTGAGAGAAATCATGTTGCATTTATCCTAGTCCTGCCAGCTAACGTTACGCTCGTTCACAATTTGTACAACTTCAAACTCGAAGGATTCTTTGGTTTTATCATCCCTGTAGTTAGTCTTTTCATTCATGTCTCTCACACTCGGATTCAGTCCTGGCAAACTCTACAATACAACTTAGCCAGATTTCACTTTTCCTTTTCTTTGGCAAAGAATTTGACAGGTAAAGTTGTCAGGCTACGCTCTGCCCAGGAGATCAAAAGCGCAGCCTTCCCCGCCCTGCTGCACTTCTGTCTTAGCAGCGCAGCGCGCAGGCATCCAGCACAGGGTACGGGTACACCAGAACTGGAACGCCTCCAATGCTTCCGTCCAGGTAACAGACACCTTGCTTTAGAATTCCAACACTGCTTGACATTGTGTAGAATAAAAAGAAAACCAGAATAAGAATCCTAAATACACTAACTCTTAACCCATAATGCCAGCCTTATGTTCTGAAGTCTGTCTGGATTAGGCAGACATTCCCAGTCTGAAAGAGGGTTCATGCTTCTAAAAAACAAAGGCAGAGGCACTCACAGGATTTACGCACCAACTTGTCAGAGCCCCAAAACGTGCAGGAGGGGGTAAAATATGCCAACTTAAGTCCTACAAAAGGCAAACTTCCAGTTATCAGCCAGATAATCCTCTGGACACTGTGTATGTCCGCAGCAGTGGAAATGGATGCAGAAACTGCTGCTGAAGAGAACTCCCTCAGGTTTGGTAGCTCCACTGGAGCACAGATGTGCAATGAAAACATCCATTCTCACGAGCTGGTCGCAGTTCTGCACAACACCAGGGCTTACGTTACCTGATTTCACAGTGCTGTTTGCCTGACGCGGCCCAGTATTACTCTGACGTTTTTCTTCTAACAGCAGGCGTACATCTGCCACCTTCTCTGCCGACCCTTTGCTGCCGATCCGGTTTCTGATATTCCTGCTTGCTATGCTATCCGCGCGCATGGAATTCCTAAAAGGCAAAAAATATAAAAGACCTCACATTACCGTAATAGTCTGCAATACCTGCGAGTGCCTACAAAATGTTGTGAAGAACTGAAAAAAGTAACTTCGACAGCTTCTTCCAGCTCTGGCAGCTGTCAGTAAGGAGAGTCTGGAATGCCCTTTCACTGACACGTGCATAAGAAATGCTCACCTGATGTTCTTCAGCTGTGACTCCACCTCATCTGCATACATCGTCATCTTCATGCTCTTTTTGGGCGAGGGTGTGGATATCATTTTCAGTTCAAGATCATAGTCCATTTCGTCAGAATCGGACGCACTGGCACTCGATCGTCTCGCTGCGCTGCGGTCTCGGGCCTGTTTGAAAGCCTGCAGTTCATCGCGGTACTCTACCACAACCCTGTCATCTTCATCCATATCCTGATCTTCCTCCTCCTCTTCTTCCTCCTCAATAGGCTCCTCAGGAACATTTACTAAGCCTGTAGCAAAACAGGTTCTGATGAACTGAGGTTTATCATTCATATAAAGTACCTTAAAACCAAAGCAAAAAAACCCGTAATTAACGATCCACTACACGAAGTTTTGTTGTTCTCTAAGGTTAAAGAGAGAATATTTTGCAAAACATTGCAAGTGGAATCTATCCTACGGAACAGCCGAAGCAGCAGAAAATCGCCACAGGAGAAGGCACGCGTGGTGCTCACTGGCGCGGGAGCCTGCTCAAGCAGACAGCTGGACTGATGCATAAAGCACAGCTGCCCCGCGCTGCAGACGCGGCTCCTACTCCCTGAACTAAGCAGAACAGTTCCTGCGATCCTGCAGGGCTTAAAGTGACAACTGCTGGCTCCGTGCTAATCCCCCATCCCATGAGCAGTAATGCCAAAAAGAACACACGTGTCATTCCCACGAATCCATCGCATACAGGGATCTGCATCAGCACCGGAGTCACCAGCGGTGCGTCAGCAGCCGTTCAGCCAGCAGGACACCGGCAACACGCAGAACCCCACGTGAGATTCGCTAAGTCCACGGCTGTATTTCTAAAAGGCCACTCCCATGAAACTTGGACACTGCGTTTGTCTCCAAGGTTTTCACACCCATTCTTTGTCTAGTGCACACCCCCAGCCTTAGGGAGCGGACGACATGCAAGCTTAATTAACAGAGTTTTCTAATCCTTACTGCGCTACACCTAGAGCTTGCTTTTTCACAGAAGAGTTGTCAGGGCAAGTACAATGAACAGCCAAGAAGTTCAAAGAAACTGTCTCTTCTTTTTGCCTGTGATGCTACAGCCCTCGCGGCCTACAGCTGCAGAAGTATCACAACAGAAGCAGCAGCTCTTTTGCTAAGCCATGAGCAGCACAACGTTCCTGCCTCAGCTGTGCCCTGCAGACTCTGAAGGCTGATTCGGTGCTACCCCTATTTTTTAGGAACAAACAAAGCCTCACGTAATCCCCTGCGGTGGTGAAGGGGAAGTGCAAGTCCTTTCCAGCCTCCATTCCCCAGACGTGTCCTTACAGCGCGACATGCTGGCATCCGTTACCTGAATGACGATGTTTGTAAGGAGGAGTCAAGCCAACATCATCCCCAATGAGTGTCCTTTTCTTCATCACATCCCGATGGATTCGGCGTGAGTGGTATCTTCGTTTCCTGGAAGGCCACAAAAATGACATTCCCGTCACTGAAGAGGCATCGTGAATGAGCCGCATTCAGTCCGGGACTGAACGTATGTGGTTATCACTCACGCCAACAGCAGCCACCGTCTGTGTCAGACCTGTTCTGCACATTTCAAATCTAACCCTTTACTTTCCTGAGCAAATACTCCCCTTGCAAATTCTCAGACACACAGGAAAAGCAGTATTTGTGCAAAAGCAGCATCTACGTAAACTGAAGAGGACGAAAATCCACACATTAAACCAGTTTTAGACCAATTCCCTGGGACGTTCCAATCCCTCTGCCCGACACTCACCAAGAATTGCTAAGGATCCCCTTCATGCCCCCGTAATTCGGATTGCCGTATTTCATGTAATACTGGCTTCGCCGTGCAGCTCCTAGCTCTTTTTTGTCATCTGAAAAAACAGAAATTAAAGGAATATTTCCCACTTAAAATGTGCCTTGCAACACTAGAATAAAAACACATAACCATCCAGTCAGACACGGAGTGGAACTAAGAGTGGACGTGTTGCAGAGCCGCACTACTCCAGGCACCTCTTGAGAGCTCTCCTGCCTCACCAGTTTTGTTTGTGTCTGGAAACTTAATTCCAGGGAGACCTGAGTTTCTACACACCAGCTTAGCAGACCACTCCACCCCACTGCAACTGCCGAAGGCCACTCCTACCCTACCCGTGACCTAACTTTCCTTCACGGACGTGTCACTTCCCACGTGGCCCAGAATTTACATGGATTTCCATTTCACTCATAATGTAACATCTCCACTGTATTCAGAAATAATTCCCACTGGTACCTCATCAGCATCTCAACTGCTCATGACATAGGCCCCCTGGGGAGAGGGCATCATGAACACCGTTCTGTGCTACGGGGAAGAACGCCGGGAGCCCCAGGAAAGATTTAGGTACGATCGTTTTCAAACAACATCAACTGGATTTAATTCACAGGTGAAATGTGGATTTATTGCAAAATCTTAATACCTAATGATTAGAAAAACCCTAACAATTTTGCAAATGAAAATTAGGCATTTAAAGTCATTAATTAGTCAATAAATAAAGCTACCACAAGCAATTAATTCCTTATGCTTGTTAAGCTCTTCCTTTACCTTTAGTAGCAAACCTCATGAAGAGCTTGTTTCCTTTAGCCAGCTTATTGGCAGGGCGAAGATCGTTACGCAGGAGAGAATCCTCTTCTACCTGGGAGAGGGCATCCAGCTTCAGGGGGGGCAAAAAAAGGTATTTTGGACTCAAAAGTGAAGTTACAGTTGAACAAAACCAGACTGCTCACAGAGAAGCCATCAAGTGATTGTTAAAAAAGTTTCTTCACAAATATGCTCAAATAAACTGCTTTTTTCCTGACAAACTAATGTGAATATTTAAAGTAATTTGCCCTCAAGATTTAAAATATTTCCTTCTCTTCTTTCATAACGTTTTCTTGGATTATGAAATCCGGTATCTTTCAAGTGATGCTGTACTGCTGACTGAAATGCAGACAACAAACAGCACCACTTGGACCCCGAAAAACAACCATTTGACTTTTTTGCTTGTTCGTATCTAACTAGTTTTACCAAGAGGTTCTCATGTCCTCTCACAATGACTACAAGACTTTTTTTTCATTTAAATCTGCTTTATGGGAACTGAAATTCAGACGTCGATGTTGCACCAGTGTTCACGGAGCTGCTCCCCAGGAAAACGACTCACCGCACCCCTCACTTGTTCAGCCGGTGAAGATGAAATTACTCAGCAGCCATGCCCGTGCTGACTCCCACACATACCTACGGCCAGCCTAAACCCCGTCTGCCTCCACGCGCTGCCTTCAGCGCCGGAAGGCCGCTGCCTTCCACTGCCGTTGTGTCACTGCCCCCAGCAGAAACAGCAGCCAGCTCCTGCATGGCGGGTGCCGCAGCACGCTCCATCTGCTCTCACAGACCACTCTTACGCAGTTCTTGTCACCCGCAGCCAGTCTGCGCTGCCTGTCCCTTCCCCTCCTGCACTGACAATTAACTGCCAATTGCAATTCGAGATGGTCAAGGCTGCGACGTTCCGAAAACCTTACGCCAGCCAGAGCAAACTTGGGTAACGGCGGTCTCGCTCCCCTCCGTACTGACCTCAACGTCACTTGGGTTGTCATCCTCAACCTCGCCTTCTTCCGTCTCATCATCAGAACTTTCCTCCTGTTTTTCTAGAAGGAAAATAATCGGAGGGGTGGGGGGGTGGAAACAGCCTCCATTTTAGTGCCTGGGTGACATTTCGTTATTACCTACACACTCTGAGATCAAACTGAAGGCGCCACCCTCTCTTCTGAGCAGCTCAGAATAACCAGAGCAGTAGAGGCCTGCGGAACTGGCAGCACAGGTGAGCAGAGACTCACACCCCCGGCAGCCGCTGTGCGGATCACTGCCTGCGGCAGCACACAGGGAGGGCGAGCTCTGGGCTGGCACGTGAAACTGCACTGCGTCTCGGGGTACAGCGGCCAGCAGCAAGGCCAGGACTGTCAAAGGCACGTAAAAGCCTCTTTCCTTCACCTCCCTTTAACGCCCTGCAAGGTCCTACAAGTGTCCAGTAACAACACAGGACACGTTCTGTTCAAAAGCTCCGAAGTTTCTAAGGGAGACCAGGAGAAAACACCCAAACTTAGTGACTTAACTTCAAAGGGAAGCAACCAACAGAAGAGCGCAGGCTTCCACAGCTGCCAAAACTGTGAGGTGCCTGCACACATCTGTCAAGGTTCTTTTTGGCGTGGAGTAAGAAAACGGGTAATTCAAACAGTCCTTCAGAAAAAAAACAGAGCGAGCAGCACATACGGACAGCACGCGGCACACACAGACAGCGGCCAACATGCACCAATGTTCCTGCGGAGATCCCAACGTAATTCACAGACACCAGGCTAAAAACCCCTCCTCTACATTTCAGAGCTCTGTATCTTAATCCCACCCAGCAACAGACTTGGAAACTCAGAACTGAGCACTAGCTGCTCAGGAGATGCTCAGAATTTTCAAAGAAAAGAGTAAACCACAGTTAAACTGAAACCAAAGCAAGAACTTGGGTAAACAGATGAGCCAAATTCAAACCTGGATAATTAAGCTCATCACGGACAGCATGCAAACACTTTTTCCCCCATACAATAAGCTGCTCATGCTTCTCAAGGTCAAGGCCAGCTTCCCCAGTTGCCTACAGAGCCCTCGGGTTCCCACCTCAAAAGGGAATGCAACCAGGCCAGATGAGGCCAGTGTGTCTGTGTGACCCTCACACCTTAGATGGAACTGAACACTTTGTACTTCATCCAATATCCCATTTTTCCAGATGAACAGGAGTAATTTAGATGACAGTGTTTATTTTGAGATGTAGTGTAACGATGACGTAATAAAGTAATGTGTAGCCAACAAGATTAATTAGATGTACTAATGCTCCAGACAGCCCCTAATCTCCCAAAACTTCATCGCAAGTCTCACTTGAGGCAATATCAACATTTGCCCGAAAACTGAAGCCACACGGATGGCTGCGCAGCCACTGCAGCGTGGAGAAAAGGCAATGAGTTAGGAGGATCCACACGTGTAACCATGGCCTAAACCCCAAACTCTCCAGAGGGGCTTCTGGCAGCGCCGCAAACATCTCGGAGAGAGACGGGCCGCGTGCGTTTTGCTCAGGTGGCACAATCTGCAGAGTTCACAAACACAACGTCTCCTCGGCTTTTACGCGTGGTGCAGCACTCTGACCCGCAGCGGCTCGTCTCTCCGGCCTGAGAGCAAGACACCCTGAGGCAGCAGAAGCCTGATTTTTAATTTACAGCCATACAAGTAAAACAAAGGATGGCAGTAGCAACTGTGGTGTTCCAAACCCGGGACATTTTCTTACACCTGGTTTTTCCACGCTCAGAATCCATCCTTTTACTGCCGCAACTGAACTGTGGTGTTCCAAACCCGGGACATTTTCTTACACCTGGTTTTTCCACGCTCAGAATCCATCCTTTTACTGCCTTAACACACATCACAGCCTGACCTGTGTGCCACGTTGCCACCACGAATATCGCCTCTGCATCTGACCCAGCATCTAACCGCTCAGCATCGGCTGAATTACTGCTGTTGCTCTAGCTCCAACCCACCTTTTAAGAAGCAGCTTCTTCAAAAGGTTTCCAAGATGAAAGCCTTTTTTAAAGTGGCAGAATACATTTACCTGAAACTACACGACAGAAGCTCCTTCAGTAATTCAGATTAGGCAGTACCCAAGCACAAGTTCAAACGTCAGTGAGTTAACTGGATGTCGGGTGTCGTATACACGCATCTCAATCTACCTTTCTTGGGTTTCTCAGCTGTCTTCTCTTCGTTGTTCTCTCTGCTTTTTGTTTTCTCCTGGTCAGGCAAGGAACTCATATTTATTAGGGCCCGTGTTGCTGTTACTTCATCAAGCCAGACAACATTACCTAGGACACACATCAACACACAGGAAAAGAAAACGCGGTTTGTACAACCAAGCAGTCACGCAGACGGCCGCGCTGGAGGGAGAGCGCTCATTTTTTTTTTCCACGGTGACACAACAAAAAGGCCATGGGGTACACCGCCCGCAGGGAGAGTCACCTTCCTTAACAGGCTTGTTAAGCTGGAAGACACCTAACTTCCATCGCATTACAGAGGGCACACACCACTGACCAAGCCCGAATCACTGCAATGCAGCGCCGTGCCTACCGGGGACGGCCGCCTGCGTGCCGCCAATCGGGGTTCCGAACGAGGGTCAGTGTATGCCACCTGCTCGCACACAGAGGCCACTAAGGGGGTGGCAGGGGAGGGGGGAGAAGAAAGAAGCCTTGATTTTTTTTTCCCCTTTGGCAATTTAAGAGAACCTTGGACCTTACTGTGGGATTCTGTTAATCTTTTCCAAAAAGCAGGAAAACAGGGGAAAACCAGAGTGCCCACTCAGGCATTTTGCAGATGACTGTGTACACAGGGTAACAATATGATTCAGTATATGCCTCAAGGATCAGCAGATGGTACTAAAATATAACTTATTAGGCCAATTGAGAGCCTTTCATAGATGTCGAAATCGAAAGAGGTGAAACTGCTTAGTGGTTTGGAGCGAAATCTTTCCCCCAGGTGCAGAAACACAAATGCCAGTTACTGCCCTGCTGTTAAGCAGAGGATATTCAGGCAGATGTTCAGACAGAGGGTATTTCAAACACAAGAAAACTAGTGCTCCAAAATACACAATTCTCTCTTAAATTACTTGAACTTACAGGGTTTACAAAGTGAACAACACCCAGCTACTAACTTCAGTGACTGGCTAATAAATTTTCCTTTATGTACCTGCTCTTCACATCTCCACATTTTCAAACCCTGCATAGTTCTACGTTCACCAGCTTGAAGCACAAGACACTGCCTAACCTGACCTTCGCACTGCGACGCCCCGAGTAACAGTCCCGTTGGGAATGTTCGCCATGCTGTGACACAAATCTCTGCTGACACGGCACTGCTTTTCCATGGGATCTCCATCAAGCGCAGCTGGCATACCCGATACTGCATGAAAATTAATCCCTAAAAGATGGGGACCCCCAACACTGGAACGATATAGACTGGTTGGAGCGAGTCCAGAGGAGGCCACGGAGATGCTCCGAGGGCTGGAGCCCCTCTGCCATGGGGACAGGCTGGGAGAGTTGGGGGTGTTCAGCCTGGAGAAGGGAAGCTCCGGGGAGACCTTAGAGCCCCTTCCAGTGCCTGAAGGGGCTACAAGGAAGCTGGGGGGGGCTTTTTACAAGGGTCTGTAGTGACAGGACAAGGGGGAATGGGTTTATATTGAAAGTGAGGAGGTTTAGATTAGATATCAGGAAGAAGTTCTTCCCGGAGAGGATGGTGAGGCACTGGGACAGGTTGCCCAGAGAAGCTGTGGATGCCCCATCCCTGGAAGTGTCCAAGGCCAGGCTGGATGAGGCTTGGAGCAACCTGGTCTAGTGGAAGGTGTCCCTGCCCATGGCAGGGGGGTTGGAACTGGGTGATCTTTAAGGTCTCTTCCAAACCCAACCATTCCATGATTCTATGCTTTTGAACTGTAACTGGGTGTCATTATGACTCTCAAACCTGCGTTCTTGCACGGCAAGTTCCCACTGGTCCCATGCTAAATCCAACCATGTAACATTTAAGGAAAAGGATAATCAGACAACCTTAGAAAGCAGCCTCAGGTACAGAGTTAAACCGTGCACTTGCTTATGCATCACCACGGGTTCACCCAGCAGCTCGTCGCTGCAGCTGCCCACCCCGGGCTCGCTGTGCTCCGGGTGTTCCGGCAGCCTGCAGCAGTGTGCCGAGCTGTCATGCACGGTGACTTCAAGGTGACCAACCTTTTGTAGCACACCGTATCTTTTGCCTTGCACTGGAACACCATTCCTGGGAACCACTCTACCAATTCTCAGGTCTTGGCCATGACTGTCAAGAAATCAGTTCCCAGCAATCCCAATCCAACTGGGAAACCTGCACCAGCTCCTACTGGGTTTAATGTGGTTTCAGTTACAGGATTTCTAGCCACATGACAATCTGAGCCTTTCAGTGCCATGAGCCAGAGCCCAGCTGTAGCAAAAGGCTCTTGTAGAGTCTTCAGTACCACTGAGGAAAGCCTGACTGTCAACCACCTCCTCTCTGCCAACGTCACCACATGCTTACTCCCCGAAACAGCCCGTGCGATTTACAGTCTACGCAATCACATTCAGCTCCTGCCTTCTTCCACCCACTAACTTCTCCATGAGCACGCACTGAAGAAGTATGGCAACACGTTGGCTGCTTTGCAGCACCAAACCACCCGAACCTGCCCAGCTGCACACAGACAGCTCAACAATCTTCTCTCGGAATGCATCTTTCGCGACACTCCCAAGCAGGCGACACTACTTATGTCAAGGTGTAGCAGCACAAAATTTGAGACCTTCTCCCCCACCACCTGGAGACCTGCAAGTTATTCTGTGCTATTTCTTTCCAACAATGAATGCTCAACCAGACACTGGGTTTGATTTTCACTATCTGCTATTAATTCTTCCTTTCTAAATCTCTTTTCACGACAGCAAAAGACAGGGAAACTGAGACAGAGATCAACGACATCTGAAGCATAGCTGTGACCACGGTCAGCAAGAAGAGTCAGCATTACAGACTGAAGACTGTTTACTTACATGATGTATCATCCAACCACTCAATATGAGCAGGAGGATACTCCTTGAAATAGGCAAAGATGTCCTGTGTGCTCATCTCATCCACCCCACATATGTAAATTGTGTCCAGTCTCACTTTAGGAATCGCTGTGAAGAGGAAGAGGTACAAACTGGTACTCGTCTGTACAGAGCAAGCTCTTATCCTTTCATCTCAGTAACGCACAGGTTTATAAAGCAAGCATTCCAGAGAGGCTAAAGGGAAGCTACTCCCAGCAAAGCGTGACATGCAGCATTCTAAACCCCCGGAACGGTCATTAGTGTTCCACAACGCAAAGCTGTAGTAAGCGCTGGTAGACGCAAGCACTGCGCAGCAGTCAAACTGCCTTAACCCTGGATCCAAAGGCGCTCCCACTGTGTACTCCAGAGCCAGAGCACTAACAGGGCCGGGGCGCGCGCAAGGCGCTGCCGCTCCTCCACCTGAGGGAGAGCTGCTACAGGCCATGGCCCAGCGGGTCCAAGCTCACAGCGGGACAAAAAGCCTTGAGAAGATGCCAAAAGCGCCAACCTGCTGTGCACAGCCCTCCTGCTGAGCTGCTCGTATTGCAACGGGCCCAGCTGGCCCCCCAAGGGCACACGCGCAGGCAGTCCAGCCTCGCTGTGCGCGGGACAGACTCCTTCGCCCACGTGCAAGCGCTCCGGGGCTGGTCTTGTCGAGGAAACTAAGGGTCCGGAAGACGAGTCTCAGACATGCAGCACTAGGTGCTGTTGCCAAACAGTAAATCAGGTACAGAAAAAATAATCTCCTTTTTCGGGGGCTGGTAAAACAAGGAGCAAAACGATAACTGCCAAGTAGTTTAAAAATAATGAAATAAAAATAAAACGGTGAAAAAAGCAGTGATTTCCCTGGGCAACAATCTGGGAAAGCCTCTGTGGATGCAGGAAATAGAGGATAAATCAAGTAAAGGAACTGCGAGGAAGTAAACAAAGGGATAAACTCGTACCTTTCTTCATCATGTCCCGATCCAGCGCCACATTCCTTTGGGCGAGATTCACTTCAGCTCGAAAATGAAAGCGTTTTGCTCTTTGTTCCTTTTTCTCAATTGCTTCCTGCAAAATGCAAAATAACGCAGCCAAAACTGGATCACATCAGCATTCCCAACAGGGTGCACTGAGGGACCAGACATTAACGTAAATCTACCAGACAGCAACCATCGCGAATAATGCTCTCAATTCTGCCGAGACCCCTAAGGATCAGGGCGTAGAAACAATTCACTAAAACCTTCCTGTGACACGTGCTAGCTTTAATGTAGGTCCAGCAACATCACGGGAATCAAGATGCACGGGAAACACACCACCTCGGACAATGCTGAGGCTCCGTGATGGAACAGTAACGTCATCTTTTCCTTCCTAAAGCACGGAAGCTGTGCTCAAAAAAAGCGCCTAAACCAAGCATTTCCACCACCTGGAAGATTCGTCTTTTGAGATCACAGAGCGCTTTCCCTGCCACAGGACGGTTTTTAAACGATTGGTACTTGGGTTTAGCCACAGCAAAACCATAAGCTTGTCTCTCCGAGCATGGCCTGGCTGGAGTGCTGACCACAGAGCCTGCTCAGACTGGGAATGCAAGCTGCTTTTCAGGAGCTCACAGGGAAGAGCTTATGTGGTGATTGTGCAATTTTTGAAATGGACCAAGAAGCTCCTTATTCTATGGAATTTCTTAGAACGTATTATACAGCTTTGGAACACAAACTGTGACGAAGCAAAAACTGCCACCAACAATATCCAAACAAACACAGACCTTTCACTGCCACAACATCTCTGACCATGTTTCTTTTTGGAGTTGCATCATCACAGAACGCAACAGAAGATGTCAGCTCTCCCCCGACCTGGGGAACTTCAATTCTTTACCAAATTACACACAGCTAGCTATTGAAGCCAAAAAGCTGATTTTTCAGCCTTCACCTGAAATCCTTTCTGTACTCTTTGATAAGCAAAACCTTCCCAGCTTCAGTAACACAAAACGGGAATTCCAGTCATTTGCCAACAAACTGTCGTGGTGGGGACTCCTTATTTGCTAAACATGAAAAACTCTTGTCAGTCCTGTCAAGCATGGAACGAAATGCTGCTTCTGCACTACCAAGTGCTAGATACAGCGGTCAGTCACGCGGCACGAAACAACAGCCAGCTCAGTATAGAGAGCACAGCAGTGAGCTGTAGCATTAAGTTTCTGAAGTTCCCACAGAATTACGTTAACTTTGAGTTCCTTAAATGCAACAGCTGTTCACATTCTCCACACTATGTCTGGGGTAACTGAAGAATAGGATGCCCTTTGAAGACACAAGGCAACGAGACTCCACTTTCCTGCCAAGCACGTTTTCTTCCCTCTGTCACTCACCTAAGAGGAAAAAACCCAGCTGACCTGTCTCAAGGGCTGTTTTGCAGCATCAAGTAGCACCAAGGCAAAGTCAACAGAAACATTCTCGGGTTTTAGCACCCAAACCTCACACATCATAATTCTTACAGTTTATGAGAGACGTTGCCCTGACACAGGCCACAGCCACCAGAACGAGAGTCCCCTGGTTGTGGAAAAATGTCCCTGTCTGACCGCGAGGCGAAGCTCCTGCGCGTACTGGGGAGAAATCAACGAAAGGGTTCTTCCTTCCCATTGGCAATATTTGAATATGCAGAACAACCAGGGCACAGAAGTTACCTTGGAGGTTACATCTATTCCAGTAATGAAGCTCCCAGCCTTGTTTTCATACCTCCTACTAGTGTCCTGAAAGAAAGCAGAACGGTGACGAGATCTCAGTGAACATGAAAGCAACATACTGGCTGTGCTGGATGAAAGATGAGCATCTGGCCACTTCTGTGAAAAAACACATCCTTTTTTCCCTGATCCTCGCTGCAAGCGCCATCCCTGGATGACAGGTACACGAGCACCAGCTCTCACTGACATCAGTGAAGGTACAAACATACCAGCTGAATCCTCTACTGGAAGGAGTCTTTCCTTTGGCAAAATTTAGTTTCCGTGTCTGCCGCTGCTACGGTTTTTCACTTACTCTCTCCCAGCAATACAGAGGAAGTCAAACACCTTTCCTAAGTAAAATTTCCACAATATCGGTTCTGGGCATAGTTGCCTTGTAAAACATGAACAGATTTAACAATTACACCTGACTTCTCAAGTGCCAATTTGCAACTTTTAGTCTCAAAAGTCAAAACACCAAGCCATATCCACAATCAAACAAGTAACTCTTACCCCTCTTCCTATCAGTATTTCAAACCCAAGCTCTGAACACCAGCAAGATGTAGCATGACTCTTTTGCTACACCCCTACCCAAAGAGTAAAACTGGAGAATGGTGTGGGAAAAAAAAAACCCTACAGGTTTCAGTGCCATCAGTCGGGACTGCTGAGTTCACAAGGCTGCACTAACCCACCCAAATCCCAGCCAACGGCCTAATCCTGTCCCTTCCATTGGCTGCCGACGTAAAAAAATCACCCGGCAATCGTCACATCTTGCCTTCTCTATGGGTAAAGGTGTCGTTTACACTTGTGCTGCAATAATTATTTTGGCTAGAGGACTTTTTCTAGAAAGTGGGCCAGTCTCAGTTCAGAAATACCAAAGTACACACAATCAAACTGCCTCACTGAACTAACTTCGTGTCGAAGTTTCTCAAAAGCTGAAAAATGAGTTATTAAATTAGTTACTAAAAAGAAAAAGAAAAGCAAAATAAGTCTGTTTTTTAAAGCCCAAGACCCCCACGGTCAAGGGCTGACTCGCGGAGCACCAGGAAGTGCAATAGGGTGCTGTCTCCCCGGCCACACGGTTGGTGGAAGCTCAAGCATGTTGGTAAATCGGCTAATTACAGATTAGCTTCTGAAGCAATTTCCACACAAGTTTTGAGAGCAAAGAACGACTCAGGAGGTTAGAACTCTGACCCATTTTTATGGATTAAAGCTGATCGTACCAGAGCTTGTACAGAACAGCTAACAAAAATGAAAAAAGGGAAACCAAAATGGAAAGGAAACCCTCAAACCCCGCTCGTCAGAGCCCACATTCCCAGTGCGTCCAACTCAGCTCTCCCACGGTCACCCCCTGCTCCCTACTTCCCTACGTTCCCTCCTTTTACACTCTCCCACCCCCAGCCTTCCTCGACAGTCCACTACTACGCCCCAAATCCTCCCCTCCAGCACCTCCTCTATTCCCTTCGTTCCCAAGCACCTCCTGGCCGCTTCCTCTCCCGGCTTTTCCCCGCGCTCCTCTCATCCACCCCAAAGCCCCTCACGGCCTCGGTCCCGCCAGCCCATCGCTCCCCTGCGCTCCATGTCACCCGTTTTCCCACGAGTGCACCCCCAAACGCCCTTACGGACCCCCGCAGCTCCCCACTCCGCCACCCTGAACCCCCCCTCGGTACCCTGGCC